ATTGAGTCTTTGTATATTATTGCTGCCATAACTGATCTGGTGCTTCTGCTATACATTTAGAGATTATTGATAATAAATACAAAGAAAAATTTGCAATGTTATTGGTCCTAATCTGGCATCTCAGCTACAGTCATTTTCTCACTGCCATAAAAATGCTCCCTTGTGCCTTTTCTATAAATATTTTCATGATAATTGTTCTGATGAACTTTCCACTATGGCATGAATTTGAGTGCAGTACTAGGTTGGCTGATAGGTCTCATCATTTTACAGTTGAAATGACTAGATGTAACCTTATGTTCTATGCTAACAGTTTATTCTCTCATACATCTTGCTTATGGAACTTTCTTCTGGCTTCTTTCTTCCCAGTCAATTTTGATCTTCAAAAGTTTAAATGCAATGTCAGTTGTTATCTTCTGTCTTCTAATTCCTGTTCTTTTATTGTTCTCCCTCCTCATATTTTCCACACTCAGTAACCTCTTACATCTTAGTGGCTTTATTGCCTTACTTAAAGTGAAACAATTTAAAAGAAAAACATTGAAAATTTTGCCTGTCACCATGGTCTCATAAACTCGCTATTTATATTCAAAATAAAAAAATCACATTGTGTTGTTAATAATCATTTTTGCAATTTCCAGCATTATTTTATCTTTAGTAAGCTCTAAAGTTATTAAACATTTCTCTTTATCCACCAAATCAACCTTTTGATCCATTTTTAAAATTTAAAATTTGCAATGTAGCTATAAATTTAAAACAGAATTTCAGGACATTTTATGCAAATAGCTGCCTTTGTTTACCTCTGATCAAAACGAACCAACTTTCACATCAACTGCACAGATGTTTCCATCCTTCAGCAAATAAACCTTTCAATTTCAATAAGCATTTATTTGATTGATGAATTGATTAATAATATCAAATGCAGAGTATATGAATCATTTAGTGATCTCTTGCTGAGAAACTGCACCAAAGAACTTCCATAATCCATTTTATAAAACAAATAAACAATGATACACTCATCTATATCATTAATTTTATTTGTTTTACAACATAACAGAATTATCATTACTAAAATATCACTGAGAAAATTTCATTTTTGCTTAAATATATAAAGATAAATGGTTTTAGTTATTCAATCAACTTAGTTACAAGTTATTCTTGATTCATATCATGCAATTTTTCATGAGATTGAACTCAGGATGTTTGTTTTGTTGGCATGGAGTATATTTAATCAATCTTAGAACAATTGCTTTAAATCATAGAATCTGTTCAACCAGAGGAGATAAAACAAGATTTCATCATTTTATCTGCCAGCATATTAATAATGAAAAGCTGAATTCAAAACATTGCAGAAAAAGATCCTGGGAGACTAGAATTATGAAATTACCTGAAAGATGGCAGAATATGAATCAAAAACAGGTATTATCTTTTTTATAAAGTTAATGCTGAAAATTAGAAAAATCTTATTTTTACTGAATAAAACAGTAAAAAAATTATATCTCCTTGTTCTGAATTCAGCCTACTTTAGTCAAATTTTTACATTTCTTCAAACATATAATGTCAAATTGTTGCTTATTTTCTTCCATCTTTAATATTTAACTGAAACAAAATATACTGATTTTATCATTAAAAAGAAAATATACTGATACAATAGAATCAAAAGATATTTTTTAATGAAGTTAAAACCAAATACTTCTAATAGCATTTATTAGCAGAAATGAAACAATTATTCCAGGTTATCTGATAAAGTTGAACAATGTAATTTTTTCATAATGTCATTACTTGGAGATAGTCACTAAACAGAGACATTCATTACATGCATTAGGAATTATTATTAATTATCATTATTATTGTTACAATAATAAAAATTATTTTTGCTGATGTTTCATGTCTATTATCATTACTTACATTGTTTCATGTCTATTGTTATTGACACTTTCATTCCAAACCTCAACATAATTGTAAACATGAAAGACTGAAGTTACACTAATGTTTATCTGAGAGCAACTCAAGGTAGAGGATTACTGAATAATGTTGTTGCATGAGTAAGGAAGAGGTAAGGAGTTATGAGGTTATGCAGGAGAGATAATTGTTAACACTGGACTTGAAGGTTGTAGTGATCAAGTAAACATCCTCTTGAGAGTCTGTTCCATAAAAAAGTGGTTCTTAGGAAGAAGCTGTCGGAATGGAACTTACTTCTTACTAATGGAATACAAAGAGAATGGAGATGATTTGTTCTTGTATACATGGCACAGTGGGACAATATTGTGACAGGGATGAGCACCCACATTCTTAAAATCTGGGTATACAGTTGACACCTTCCATAGACTGGGGAAGTATCTTTCCTTTAACCAATGGTCAAACAGTTTTGTTCAGATTGAAGATAACTCTGGGCTGATGTTCTTAAGAACAATCTCTGGGATTTTATCCAGACCGATAGCCTTCTTTGAGTTAAGGTTTTTGATAAGCCTGGAAACTTCCTATATCATGATAGCAATATTATAAAGCTTGTGCTCCATGAAAAAAAGTAAAGTTAGGTAAAGGGTGATCCTTATCATCTAATATAGAATTAAAGACAAAGTTCATTGCAAAGAGCCTTTTTTTTCTCTGACAAGGATTAAATAACCTAACGGCCATTTATGATAGTTGGTACTGACACTTTGTGTCTCTTGAGAATTTTATTCAAGATTTTCCAGCACTATAAGAACCAAGTTTTTTGTTTTCAACCTTGGCTTGAACTGACTATTTCTCATTTGACTGGTTAATTCCGCAACCTTTTTCAGGTGAATTTTTATCTGTAGAAGTAAAATGGGTAATAACTCAATGAAACATTTTGTATGAATTTCTTGGATGAAGAGTTGAGTTCAAATGTAAATAATGCCAATCAATGAAACATTAATGTGGAAGAAACTGCAGAATTAATTTTCAAGTTGCCTTTGTGAGTCAAAAATTATTCACATATTTTATTCAAATTTTATTGCCACAAAAACTAGTTATATTGGTTTTGAATGTGAAATTTACATTTCAGTGGAACAGAAAACTATGACTATCAAGAGAAATTTAAAACAAAGAAATTATATTCTTTAAATAGGATTATTTTAATTTGCTCTTCAATACTTCAGATTTGAGGAACATAGGAAAAAAAGAGCAAAACACTTATGAATATATGCATGTATCTATATAGGCACATGGCTGTGTAGTTAGAATGTTTGCTTTCCAATCATGAGACCCAAGTTCAAATCTCACCATGGTTGATTTTTCAGGAATGTGACAAATATTGACCTGGGGAGATGATCCTAGAATCAGGAATGGTTGGAAAGTTCCTGAAAACCATACCACAAGTTGACCCAATCCTTAGGAGTGAAAATCATTAGCCTTGTTCAAACTGTTAAGCATATCAGGCTCTGCACTCTCTCCTAGAAACTTTAACTAATGCTAAGTATAGTTGCAGTATAAGCCACAGGTGGGCTCTTTTAGTGCTGAACAGGTGGGCTCTTTTAGTGTGGAACAGGTGGGTGGGCTCTTTTAGTATTGAACAAACACGAATGTCTGCAACAGGGATTGGCTAGCCACTTGAGCAAACGGATGATGTGCTTTGAAATCAAGTAGCTGGCCATTATATATATGTGTGTGTGTAATAATACCTTGTTTTAACTTTTAAACAAGGTCACTGGAATGTTTTATATAAGAAGGGATAATTGTTTCTAGAAGAGGTGTTGCTATTTTTTCTATGGTTTTCTTTATTCTATGGGAAGCATTATCAATTCCAGATATGATGGGTCGCATCAGAATGCCTACTTTGTGTGTTTTTGGCTGGCCATAAAATCTAGATATTTAGGGGTGGTATTTGATTAATTTTGCTCATGTCTAGTTGATAATAAGAACAAAAAATTTGAAAGTTATGATTAGTGTTTGTTCCAAGGAGTTTAAATATGAGATCTGAAAATATTTTCAGTAGATTTATCAAACATCTGGCTCTGGAGGATGATTTGACGTGAAACTCTGGAATCCATCAATGAGATAATGAGCATAAATTTTATTTATTTAATATATATATATATATATATATATATATATATATATATATATATACTGTTACAAACCCTCATCTAAATTTATTATAAAAGCTATAACAATGCTTATATTTTAGAAGCACTCTAAATAAAAGTCAGTACTCTCAGAAAACGTAAAAATAGAAATGCAAAGAGATAGGGTAGAATTGAATGTTGACAGATATTAAGCAGACTGTACATTTTCTTTCTCTTTTAATCACTTATTGACAGATAGATTCCAGCTGGAGAAACCACGTTAAACTCTCTGTGACCCTGTAGATGAGAGAAAGGGTCAGAGAGCTCATTTCACTCAAACAGGAAAAAAGTTCCTATTTGAAAATAAAGACCACATGATGAAAAAAATAAAAAATAAAAAAAGACAAAAAACAGTGAAAAAAAGTTAGTCCCTGTCCAAGCCTTTGGGCTGGATGGACAAGTCAACTATAGATGTGACGGTCCTGTGATGGTTATGTGAAAAAAAGTCTTTGTCCAAGTATTTAAGACTGGAAGGATGAGTCTGCTATGACTGCAATAGTCAGCTATAGATATGGGTATGTGAAAGTGGGTCCATCTTTGATCTTCAAATGGAATAGACAGCTATGAAGGTGATAATCAGTTATAAAACTGGTCATGCGAAAAAAGTCCCTCTTCGAACTGAACGGACGATTGGCTAAAAGTGCAATAATCAGCTAGAGATTTGGATATGTGAAAGAAGTGTTTGGATTCAAGGAAACAAACTCCAGCATATGAAGAATTCTGCTACATCAAGATGAAAGAAAGATGTACTTTCATGAAAACCAAGAGACAGTTTCAATTTATTTGTCTTTCATGAAAACCAAAAGACAGTTTCAATTTATTTGTCATTCAAGACCAGACGAAAAGAAAAAGAAAGTGAGAAAAGATCTCAAAAAGAGATATATGAAAAAAGTAAGAGAGGAAAGACCTCAAAGAAATTCAAGACATGACAAAAGGAAAAAGAAAGAGAGAAAAGACCTCAAAGGAGATGCTTATATGAAAAGGAAAAGAAAGGAAAGACCTCAAGGGAAATTCAAGACCAGACGAAATGAAGAAGAAAGAGAGAAAAGATCTCAAATAGAGACACTTATACAAAATGAAAGAAAGAAGGAAAAGACCTCAAAAAAGAAAGAGACACTTATATGAAAAGAAAAAGAAAGAGAGAAAAGAAATCTAAAAAGAGAAAGGAATTTTGTAAATTCGTGCAAGTGTGACACAAGATCATATGTTGATTTGCCTTTCTGAGTGTATAAGTTCCCTTCCCACTATTCTGTCCACAATGTTTATTTTTGACATATTGTTTTTTTGTCTTACCTGTCTTTCATTTTCTCTCCGTTTGTATGTTTTGATAATAAATTTATTCCTTGTTGTCACTACATCTGGCTTATTGTTGTTTGTCGCCTATCGCGTTTATTACTTAATCATTTCCGCTCAGCCATGTCTGATCAATCAGAAAGAGACTCTTAGAGAAGGAAATTTGTTATAAGAATTGTATACATGTTAAAAATAATAATACAGGTTGTGATCTTCCTCTATCTCTGCTATCGATCCGGTTAGAGGACTGGGGCGGGTTGTAACAATATTATAACATCAGTTACATGACAAATTTTACTTGTATCACTATTAATGTTATATCTCTGATACCAAGCACTTTATTGCAAAGACTGCTTGCCTTAAATATCCTTTCTTTCAAACTTCCACTGACAGCATTTCTGACTTTACACTATCTTTGTTATTGCTGTGCGTGTGTGTGTGTGTGTGTGTGTGCGTGCGTGCGTGCGTGTGTGCGTGCGTGCGCTGAGTGTATTTAGGCAGCAATTTTTCATTTATACAAGTTAGGTTAAATACTAACAAAAGTTGTTTGTTGTTTTATTTATTTATTTTTCAATGTTCCAGATTATTTTCTTAGTTTCAGATTCATATTTGAAAATATATTTCCCAATGTCTGAGTACTTTTGTCTATTGTTAAAAAAATAAAAATCTTTGATAATGGCTAATGATAACTGAAAGTACTCAGATATTGGAAAATATATTTTCAAAAACCAGAATATTAAATAAACAAATAAAAAATAATTAACAAGGAGCTTTCATTGTTATTTAACAATCCATTGACAAACAACAATAACAAGCACTGATGAAGGTTGCAAAAGCAACTGAAAATTTTGTCAGTTCCAAAGCTCCCACATGTCAACTAAATAAAAAACAAAAAATAAAATAATAAAATATATAAAAAAAATGTTTTGTTAAATACTTTTAGTGTGCATATATATATATATATATATATATATATATATATATATATATATATATATATATATATAAATATACAAGTGGACATTTAATTCAACACTTATAGGTTATAGACTGTTTCATAGTAAATGCAATCATCAGGTCCATCAATTACATTTAGCATAGTCTGTCACGTCTGAGAGTTGACTTTAATGTCCACTTTTATATTTATATATCTCTATCTCTGATATTGAGCACTTTATCCCATAAATATAGCACACCTTAAAAAACTATATTTCATATATATATATATATATATATATATATATATATATATATATATATATATATGTGTGTGTGTGTGTGTGTGTGTGTGTGTGATAAAATATAGTTTCAATATAGTTTGTTATATTTATGTGCTCAATATGAAGGATAGAGTGTATGTAAATATAAAAGTGGATACTGAGGTCAACACCAAGTGTCAATAGTCTGCTTCATGCTTAATATAGATAGATATATAAATATATACATATAAATATATACATTTATGTGTGTGCATGATTATTTTATATATGTGCATAGGCATATCAATAAGTCTGCAAACTGTATTGCTGTGCCTATGCACATGTAAAATAATCATATCAATCTGATTATGAAAAAAAGCATTTTTTCTACAAAATATATTTTCAACATAATCTCCTTCTTCGTCAATGGATGAATCATACAGATTAAACATAATACAGTTAAAATTTCAATTTAAAATTCAGTTAAGAACTACAGATTTATTGATCAGCCATTATATATATATATATATATATATATAATTATTTTAAAAAAAGGTTTTTTTATTTAACTCATGTTTACTCCAAAGTTTATATTATTACTTTAACTGTTATTTTTTAGTGAGTTCACACGTTTGAGTAGATAACAGTTATTTTAAACAGTGAAAATAATGTCAAATGGCCTTAAGACTGAGAAGTCTTATTAAAGGAAATTCCTAACAATTCCAGTATTTGCTTTTTCCATCAGGGAAGCTATTTTAAGTCATGTGTTCTCTACCCATGATAAATAATGTTTATAATAAGAAGAAATAACTTCGGATAAAAAAATTACATGAATCACACACACACACACACACACACACACACACATATATATGCTCACATATTTCTTTGAAAAATCTATAAAAAATTATAATATACAAAATAAATACTCACATAATGTACAGGATATTTTAAAATTCTTTATATCCATACACACACACACATATATATATATATATATATATATATATATATATATATATATGTTTGTCCTGCATCACTTCTCTTTAAATCAGGCAACTGATGTACAGATCTTGTTGTCTGAATTTTGAAGTAAATGGCTACTTCTGGTGCGTATTACTCTTGGATAAACACCAGAGTGTAGATATGACTGTCGTTTTTTCTCAAACATTTTCATACTCATTTTGAACATGACTTGATTCCGCAGACCATGGGCGAGTAAAAAATTTGAGTCATTTTCAGCAATGGTGCTGGCATTTAAATATTTGTCCCGCATTGTATAATGTCCAGATATTATTGGAACGAGCCAACAACAAAGACTGATTGCAAAACATCTGAACATGAATCTTCAAAAGGTTGCTTTTTATAGGGTATCGCAACTGATTTCAAGTTTTCATGATGTAACCTGTGAAAATTGACCTCTTTAAATTCCAAGAGAAAGATTATGAAAAGGAGGTGGGGAAAAATTATTTATATTTATCTTTTAAGTGTGAATCTTTTTTGTCACCAAACAACTCACCAAAGCTTAATATAGAATATAACTCTTTGTTATTATGAACACTAAGCAATACTAATAAAATAGTTGGCTGTCACTGTTTGTAACATAAATAGAAAAATTGTTTTACAAAGAAGCTTTTATTGTCCCTAGACAGAAAGAATTTTTCCATAGCTTTTGATTTATTTCTCTAGCTGAGAATATTTTCATTTTTGTTTTGGGAACTATTTCCACAGTTAATTTTCTTTTTTTCAAAAGAAAGCATAAGTGAATTAATTGCTTTATTGTTTTTAATAAAGGGAAAAAATAATCTGGTAGCCAAACAAAATCCCATGGATTTAGATTTCCTTTTTTTATAAGATTTTCTTTTATGCTGGAAAGAATTAAATTCATTAAGGGAAGTCAAGATCTGATATTTTCTTTCAAGAAATTATAGAACAACTCATCTTAATAGTAGATAGGTTCACCTATCTCCCAGTCCACACTTGTTCCCAGTCATTTCAACAGGAGTAGAGGTTTATCCCTTTGTTTACTCTTTTGGATTATGTTTCCATTTCCTTCTAAAATCTTTTCATTCTCTTTCACTCTCAGTAACCACTTGCATCTTAGTTGTATTATTGCCTTGCTTGGGGTGAATTGATTAAAAAAAATCTACAGTAAGGATGGATTTCAGTTTACAGTTTCTTGAATTTATTTTTTTAAGAGATAGAAAAAGCAAATAAACTGAGTAACTGCAGGGGGCTGTAGTTATTCAGTTTATTTTGCCTTTTCTATCTCTTAAAAAATAAATTCAATGAAAATTGAACAGTTTATTAAATCTGTGCTTGGAATCATTAATTTTGAGAAAAATTAAAATGATTTTAATTTGAGTCATTTTTTGGCACATAAAAGAGCATTGTGGTTCCATCAATTCTGTTTGGTTGCTGATTTTAATGCCAAAGTTATTTTTTTTTTATTAATATACCTACTTTTAGTTGACAACATGATATCCTCCATACATGTAATCTTAAATTTCTACTTAATATTATTTACTAAAATATATAAACACAGCAGATGCAATTTTTTTAATTTTCAATTATTAGTTAAGATATTTCACATTAATAAAACAAAAAAGAAAATATTTTGTTAGACTAGGAGAAATCCTCTTTCTACTTTATATAAATGATCTGCCTAAGAATATATTTTGATCATTTGTGTTATATATGCTTTACAAGAGCCAGATCAGGCCAAAAATTGAGTACTGTTGACACATTTGGGTAGGAGCTGCCCAGTCTTTATTTTTTAGTATCGATAGAGTCCAAAAGCATCTCTGTGTCCTTGTAGGTGACAAATTATTTTCCACCCTACAACCCCTTTCCCAGAGACAAAATGTTGCAAGCCGCTTGCTGCACTATTGCTATTTTCATGGAAAGTGATCAGCTAAACTACATTCCTTAGTTTCACCAGTTCTAACCTTAAGATCTGCCATGCCATATACACATTGTAGAAAACTACCCTCATTTCCTCCATATTGGTGAGATGTAAGTTCCACTCAAGCAGCATTTTCCAAAGAACTGCTGCTTTGTGGAACTGTCACTCAAGAGAATGCTTTGCCAATCACTAAAATCTTAACCTGTTCAAGTCAAGGATCAACTGCTATCTGCCTCACATATACCCATAAACTATGCCTTTTACCTTGAGTGGCTCTTTGGGCCTTGTACAGGCTGAAAATCAATGTAAAAAAAAAGAAAATTTACTTATAGAGCAGCCAGTTAATAATCAACCTACAAGCAATGGCTTGTGAAACCTGCACTCAAGCCATATATGGAAAATAGTCTGGTAATAGAATATATTTCTGGCAGAAATCACACCATACTAAATGTATTTGTATATTTTTTGTTTGTAATGTTTGTTTTTAACGTATTTTCCTTGCACAGGCAATGCCAGTGTGTTTGTTATGACAATGGCAGATTAAGCATGTTTGCAAAGCCAGGAGATGAAAGAGCAGAGTACAACAAACAAATTTATTTTAAAACTTTTCTTTAAAAACCTGACATTTTATGGCCTGCAGAAAACAGTTAAAAACAAGAGAAGTTTATTTAACTAGAATTTTTTGCAACACACTAACACG